ATGTATGTGTGGTGTACAAACATAAGAAAACGTAAAGTGCGTGAATTTTCGTCAGTTTCGTCGTTTTTTTCGTCACACTTTGCTCATTTTCATCTGCAGATCGTTTAAAAAACATTCTCCCACATTCGAAGGATCTCCTTTATATTTCTTGGAGAGACAACGTCTTTCAAAATCTGGCTCCTTTTCAAAAATAATTTTTCGTTGAACCACCGTATGCTGCTGCGAATGTAGTTCGTTAAACTCTCGGTTGTCAGCTCCTGAGACTGTTTCTCAACAAGCTCGTTCACATCTCTTTCATCCAACTACAGACCCATGAATTTTCCTAGGAAATGTTTCTAGAATGTTCCTAAAATGTTTCTAGAGAAACAATCTCATCTACCACTACCACTTCGGGTTCCAGTCTTTCACACGCAATTTCATCTAAAGCCTCAGGCCGCAGCTTCTGTCATGCAGAGGTTAAGGTCCTTGTTGTAACACTTAGCCAGGTCTGCTAAATAATCCTTAGGCTTATTACTATGTTAAATTGGTCCTTCCAGAACTCTAGAAGGGTAAGGTTTGTGTTCTCCGTTACCTCAAAACAGCGCCGAAAAATGTGCTTGGTATACAACTTCTTAAAATTAGAAATTACTTGCTGATCCATGGGCTGCAAGATAGGAGTGGTGTTGGCTGGTAGGTAGAGAAAATTTATAAACTTGAACTCTTGGAGTAAATCATCTTCGAAATTTGGTGGGTGAGAAGGGGCATTATAAAGGACAAGGAGGATTTGCATGGATAGGTTGTTTTGCTTTAGATATTTTTTAACAGAAGGGGCAAACATCAGGTTTATCCACTCCACAAAAAATTTCCTGGTGACCCACGCCTTTGAATTTGCCTTCCACATAACTGGCAGTTTTTCTTTTAAAATCTTATGTAAGTTAAAGGCTCTGGAACATTCTGAATGGTACACTAGAATGGGTTTGATTTTACAGTTGCCACTCGCATTGGCACAAAGCAGTTAAGTTTAGTAGTAAACAGGAAAGTATCTTTCATAGGTTTGTGACCTGGCATCGTCTTCCACTCTGCAGTTATGTAAGTCCTATTCGGCATCTTTTTCCAGAAAAGCCCTGTCTCGCCACAGTTGAAGACTTGCTGGGGAATGTATAGTTTGGCCTCTTATCAGTTCGGAAAACGTTTTGATGTAAACCTCAGCTGCTTTTATATCCGAACTTGCTGCCTCACTATGCCAGACGACGGAGTGAATGCCGGTCCGTTTTCTAAAGTTGTCAAACCAGCCCCAACTGGCTTTAAACGAGTCTTCCGATTCCGATTTAAACCGTAAGGTTCCTCCTTGAAGCTGCTTCTCTGTCACCCAAACCATTAGCAGTTTCTCCATCTTTTCATGGAGAGAAGACCAGAGCTTAGAAATTACTGTAACGCCCTTAATTGGTATTATACCATTTATCACCTTTTTTTGAAGAGAGAGACAGAGAGAATTTGTATTTTTTCATGTTCTGGATATCCCGCAGTTTAAAAAAATAACTTTGACTCACCAGAACGTTGTTTTTGCTGGTTTCCAAGTTTGCACATTTGCTTTGGGATGTATTCTTTAAATTTAATGAACTCATATTGTTGCAGACATAAAAAATATGTTATCAATTGTGGACAGATTAACGTTTTTCTTCACAGAATCTGGAAATTGGTTCCATGACAATTCCTGTTTTTCTTTGAGGTTATCACTATTGGTATACTTATGTACTTTAATACCACTTTTCCCAATAAGGGTGTCTGCTTTCAAAATATTTGTACCTGCAATATCATCTGTATTTATTGTAACATTTTCTTTATTCTTCACAACAGTTTGACATTTTTTGCTCCCGGAATTGATTCTAGTGGCAATTTTTTTATTACTTTCATCTTGGTTTCTTTTTTTTTGACCTTTATTATTTACTTTTGTGTCAATTCGCTTTTGTTTTCGTTCTAATTTTATTTTTCTTTGTTCTGCTCTTTTTCTTCAATTTATAGGTACGCCTCCCTGCATTTTGACAATCTGAAGAAGTGAGCTCAAAAGGCACCTTTCTGTTTGCTTTTTGTCCTTTTTTTCTGATATTTGTGACCAAAACAGAATGTGTCGATTGAGGTGTCAACTTCTGTAGATAATGAGTTGTCTTGATTAACTAAAGGCATATTATTGGATGTCGATTGAATATCTCAAGTCATAGGTAATATCACCGTTTTCTGGAAGTTGAACTTGAATGTTCTCGATATTGCCAGCTATCACCCAAAATTTGCGGAAAAGTTAATGACGACGCTCTCATAGAAAAAAGTAGATTTATAATTTACTGACTCTAACGCAAAATAATACCGTATGATAGCTTAATAGTACTATGCTTAAAATGGAATTATTACGAATTGTAAGACAACATAAATCATACTATAAAAAATATATTATGTCATTGACGAAATGGCAAAAACAAAATCATCAAAACAAAGAATCAAACGCACTAACCTTATTGTCGCTCTACATTCCTGTGAGATCTACCTTAATATTAGTTACCAGAAGAAAGAAAAATTATGAGAGTAATAAACAAATAATTGCTACAAATTAACAATTTTTATTTCTTAAAAGTTCAGCCAGGTAAAGGTTATTGTAGAATGCCATCACATTAGAAAAGTAGATATAAATCATAAGTACAAGGTAAATAGCAAAACATCAAAAATGTAAATTTAGACAAAACACGTTTTAACAAATATTAAAATTAGATGGAATACCTTTATAATTGGGTAAAGCTGAAGTGAGAATTTATATAGCAAAAATTAACAAAAATATTTTGACATTACCTAAGTTATATCATAATTATCAGGATATCGGTATTATAGCTTCATCAATCATCAATCAGCCAATCGCGTCCACTGCTGGACATAGGCATCCCTCAATTCTTTCCAGTGTTCTCTACACTGGGCCGCTTGTAGCCAGTTTCCCGCTACACGTTTAATGTCATCGGTCCATCTAGTCGGTGGTCGTCCCTCGGCTTCTTTTATAATTTCTGGGCCTCCATTCCATAATGCGTCTTGTCCACCGTCCATCTTGTGTTCTGGCTAAGTGCCCTGCCCAGTTCCACTTAAGCGTCGTGGTTCTTTCGATGACGTCTTGAACTCCTGATCTTCGTCTGATTTGTTGGTTTGTTATGTGGTCTCGAAGGCTCACGTTCAGCATTGCACGTTCCATGGCTCGTTGTGTAACTCTAAGTTTATTCGCAGATTTTTGCGTGAGTGTTAAAGTCTCTGCTCCATAAATTTGTACAGGTAAAACACATTGGTTATAAACCTTTCGCTTGAGACACATGGGAATTGAACTTTTTAGAATATGGCTTAATTTGCCAAATGCTGCCCATGTTAGAACTATTATTGTCAATAGTTATATTTCCACTCATTACGAGATTTGTTATAATTTTAGTTTTCTCAAAGTTTATCTTTAATCCTGCTCTTTCAGACAGACTTTTAAGCAAATGCATCATAGTAACTGTATCATGTAAGTTATCTGCGATTAATACAACATCATCTGCAAACCTTAGGTGATTTAATCTTTCTCCATCTATATTGATGCCCATATCTTGCCATTGAGTACCCTTAAATATTGACTCTAGAGCTGCCGTGAACAATTTTGGTGAAATATTGTCTCCTTTTTTAACTCCTCGTCCTAAGCTGAATTTTTCTGTGTCTTCGTGCAGTCGTATACTTGATGTAGCGTTCTGATAGATGTTTTTGATTAGTGTCGTGTACCTGTAATCTATTCGGCTTTGATTTAGGGCTTCCAGTATTGTTTCAAACTCTACAGAATCAAAAGCCTTCTCGTAATCGACAAATGCAAGAACCAGTGGTATGTTGTACTCGATGCACTTTTCTATTAAGATCTTTATGGTATGCAAATGGTCATTTGTGCCATATCCTGCCCTGAAGCCTGCCTGTTCTTTGGGCTGATAGAAATCAAGTTTAGGTGTTAGCCTCTTTGTTAAGATTTTCATAAAGAGTTTGTACATATGTGTCAAGAGGCTGATGGGTCTATAATTTTCTAATTTAGTAATATCGCCTTTTTTGTGTAACAAGACTATTACTGCATTGTTCCAGTCTTTTGGAATTGTACCCGCATGTAAGCATTTAGTAAACAGTTCGCTTACTGATTTTAATAAAATTTCTCCACCTGCTTTTATTGCCTCGATAACGAGTCCATCATCACCAGGCGATCGATGGTTCTTCATTTCCTTTAAAGCTGCTCTTACTTCTGACACAGTAATGGGTAAAAGTATTTCCGATCCCTGATTTATGAGAGTCTTTACTCGTGTCGGGAAATTGTCTTGTGGTCTTTGGCTGGTATAGAGGTCTTTATAAAATTCTCTAGTTATTTTCAGAATGTTTTGTTTATCTGTTGTTGCCTTTCCGTCTTTATCTCTCATCTTGTATATTTCTTTTTTACTTTGCGTAAGTTTTCTTTTCATTATCTTTAAACCTTTGTTCTCTTCTACTGTTTGAGTAATTACATTAGTATTATATCTTCTTACATCTTTTCTAATTTCCGCTGAAATTCTTTTATTTAGTTTTTTATATTCTTCTTATTATAGCTTACTATTTATTAAAAAAAACCTACAAATTAGCTGAACAAAAAAATATAACAAATTCCTTTGATCATCAGTTTACTAAACATATAAACTCTTAGGTTCTACACAAAAACCAAAGATTATTGCTGAATACAAAAAAATGAGGGACATACACTATACAGAAAAACGCGATACTGCACTGCACTGAGTACGTATATAATAAAAAAATTGAACTTACATAGGGCTCTTCAATTAATCTTCAATACTTATTTCATCTCTGGTTAGCTTTTTTCTAGCTATCCAAATAAGACATATTATGTACTTACATATTATGTCAAAACATGTAAGATGCCAAATTAACAAGAAGTAGTAACATCTATGTATACATTTTTTAAACAAAAATTGATAATTTAGAAACAATTTAAATTTATGACTAATAGTTTGTTTTTATTTACATTTACAGAGCCAAAAACACCAATCGTCCATCAACCCAGCCAACAACACACCAACCAAAACCAACAACCTTCCGTCCAACCACATCAGACTGCTTCGGAAAAATCATCTCCATCCGTCGATCGACCGTATCTTGGACAGACGTCTTTGTTGCCAGCAACAAGTACAAGTGCAATTAAAAGTGAACCCGGTTATGATTATAGTAGCTGTGTTCAGAATCAACCTGCGTACTCTTATCAACAGATCTTCGGATTTCCAGGAGGTAGTGGCAATAACGAAGTGGCCTACCACCATCAACACCATGTAACGGCAGCGGCCAAGCTTATGGCATCTTCGTAGATCTAGTCCAATTGAGTTTTTATGAATGTTAAATTACTTCTTGTATCAATCTTTCCACACAAAAGACAAGGAACTTGTACCTTATGATGTTTGAATATTATTTATTAAACTAAATTATTTCTGGACAAGCTACTCTGCTATTTTTAGCCAACATATATACACAATTGGAGTTGCTATTTATGTTTATATTTTTGTAAAATCTTACGTTTTAACCTACCATTTATCATTATGAGGCCAATAATCGCCAAAAGTAATAATGTTTGTAAAAATTATTAAAGCTAAAAAATTACTGTTTTACGAATATTTTCAATTTTGAAGTTTTCAATCTTTGATTTTTCTGGCGAAATAGTAAAATTTAAGCCAAACGGGAGTCCTCAAGAATTTTATACTTAAGATATCATTGTCACTCTTCATAAGTTTGTTTTGAATATAACAATATAAACTGAGTATGTGAGTGTCAATTTAAAAGAAATACTCTTACATCTCAACAAAGTTCTTTTTCTTTTGTAACATATTTATTTAAAACATGATACTTTTAGTAGAGTATTCTGCTTTATAGACTGCTTGTAAAAATACATTTGATTCTAAACAAAACAAAAGTAGGTTATAATTAAAAATGTGCATTTTGTTCTATGGAAACAGGTGTAAGGTTCGTCTCTCTTACTGGAACTCGATGGGGTTTTAATTTACCATTAGTCACCAAGAAAAACCCAGGTATTACTCTTTTCGCTTTAATATCTACGGTTCTAATGCATTGACATTGTGTTAGGCCGCGATGTGTCGATAACATTACCCCAGTCAGCAATTAACTTTTACTATATTTCTCTTTCGTTTGAAAAGCGGTATGCTTTTTATACCAATCAACCGGGTCAGATTAGTTTATACAACAATATAATGCGTGAGTATGTCATGTCTAAAACTTCTTAAAAAATTACGAATATAAACCAGCGTGTATTATACTGACAAACTCACAACGAAAGTAAACATCTAAATATGTTCCATCTAGATTTTGTTCCCCTGACGCTACACAGGTTTAAAAGCTGTAAGATTTATTTGAAAAACTTAAAAACTTTCCTTTGGTTAAGCTATGATACTTCATTAATTTAAAATTACTATCTCAGTGATAGTTTTTAGCTGTGTAGACAAACGTTAATTATTCAGGACCAATTTCTACCACTTCTTCAACATTTTTTAGGCCTCTGTTACTAATGTACCTAATATGAAAACTTAAATCAGCCACACTCATGTTAATACTGCAATATTGATATTAGTGACAGTTACGATTGAAGCAATTAAGCTGTTTCCTAAACAATTACCTAGACCATTCTTAGGTATCAGGACAATATTTTTGTGTCCGTTATTACCCCCTTAGGATTCCCATAGAAGCCATATTTTCCTCAAATGTTTTCCATAAATGTAATATCTATTGCAGTTTTATGTAAATAATTCAGTCGTCTTTTGCTGAGAATGTCAATTTTAAGATTCCAATAAAGATACAAAAAGGAAATAATTTTTACCCCTTGGCATCATCATAAAACGTCCCCTGGGGTTAGAAACGGAAAAAATCGAATTATTAAAAATCGGTACGCCGTAGAAAAAAATGTCTTAAATATAAAATATAGCCGAGATAATTTTGAACAAAAATGTTTATTAGCACTTTTTGCGTAAAATGAACCGTTCTCTTAGAAACAACGATTGAAATGACCGGTGATTTTAAATATCATTTACGCGCGGTAATCTATTTTAAATAAAATTTCTATCAACTCGACGGTAAATCGATATCTGTTGATCAAAGTGTCCTATCGAGAAAAATCAAAATGCGTTTAAAAGGCGAAGAGTGCAGCTTTCGTATGCAATTTTTGTATTTTGGAATACATGTGGGAGATTTGAAATATGCCTATCAAATGCTGAATTTAAACTTTCACATTACACACAATCTAAAATATTTAAAACTGCTCCTTTTTGATAACACAAGTACGTTTTTTTAATATACAACTTCAGTTACAAACTTTACTCAATATTACTTTCCTGCAGGCCTTTCTTGTGACGTGTGATTGTTTGTACTTTAAAAGTTTAACTTCTGTATTTTTTTGACATAATTCAAATACCTCATATTTGTTGGCAAAATTCAAAATCGAAATTTTATATTGTTTTGAAGAATATTCTCTAACGATGGCAATTCTATTATGACAGGTCAATAAAAGTGAAAAATTTTAATAATCTTATGAGAATAGGAAAAATGGCAAAAACGGCGAGTCGATTACTTATTCAACACCTTTATAGAAACAGATTTTATTGTTGGCAAAATATAATAGTTGTATCCGACGCTGCACTCCTCATAATATACCTTTACCTATACCTTTGCTACATAATACTCCTTTAAAATCTATTTTCCATTTTGTCGATCAAAAGATATCGAATTTTTACCGTCGAGTTGACACAAATTTTATTTGAAATTGATTCCGCGCGCGTAACTGACATTCAAAATCACCGGTCATTTCAAGAATTATTTTTGAGAGAACGAATTTTTTTAACCTATTCTCTATCCTTCCATTGTTAGATATAGGTCTCCCCCAGTTCTCTCCATCTTTCCCTATCTTGAGCTGTTCTCTGCCATATGGGACCTCCTTGTTTCCTGCTGTCATCTTTCCACCTCATCTGTGGTCTGCCTCTTGATCTCTGTGCATTGTATGGACGCCACTTTCTGATGGCATTGTTCCATCGTCCGTCGTGGAGACGTTCATTGTGTCCAGCCCATTTCCATTTCAGTTTTGCTGCTTGTTCTATCGCGTCTACTCTCTTTGTTCTGGTTCTGACCCACTGGTTACGTTTTCTATCTTTAAGTAATATACCCAACATTTGTCTCTTCATCGCTCTTTGTGCCTTCCTTATCCTATCCAAATTGGCCTGTCTAAATGTCCATGTCTGTGCTCCGTAGGTGAGCACCGGTATTATACAGGAGTTATATACCTTGCTTCGTAAGTATAAAGGGATTGTTTGATTTTTTAGAACGTAAGAAAGTTTGCCGAACGCTGCCCATCCCATTCTTACTCGTCTCGATATTTCGGCTGTTTGATTTTCTCTGTTAGCTCTGATTGCTTGTCCTAGATAGATATACTCATTTACCTGTTCTATTTTTTCTGTTTGTATTTTTATTGCCTCTTGGTCTTCCGTGTTTGTCAGTACTATTGTTTTGATGAAGTTAATTTTTAGGCATTTTTGCAGTGATTTTTCATTAAGTTCAAGTTCAAGTTAAGGTCACTGGTTGGTAGTTATCAAGTTTATAGGTTAGTCGGTTGTTTATTATTCTTGTGAAGGTTTTATATAGTTGCGACAACAGGGAAATAGGACGGTAGTTGTTTAGGTCTGTTCGGTCTCCTTTCTTATGTATTAAGATTGTGTTGGCATTTCTCCATTGTTTAGGTATTTTACCTTCAAACAGACATTTGTTGAACAGTATTTTTAGCATTTTTTTTATCGTGTCTCCTCCTTCTTTTAGCAGTTCCGCCAGTATTTTGTTCTCACCGGCCGCTTTATTTCTTTTCATGTCGTTTATGGATTTTTCGATTTCATCTTCAGTTATTTCTGGTAGTACCTCTGAGCCAACATTTTGTATTTTCCTCGAGAGATTCTGTTTAGATGATAGTAGTGGGTCATTTTTAGAACTGTATAGGTCTGTGTAATATCTTTCTGTGATTTTTACTATTTCTCCTAGATCTCTTGCTTCATTGTTCTCAGCTTTAAACATGATTAGTTTTCTTTTTGCTATATTTGTCTTCATTGTTTTTAAACTTTTGTTCTTCTCTATGATTTTCTTAATGCGATCTTCTTGGTATTTCTTTAAATCTTCCTTTATCTGTTTTCTTATAGTTTTGTTGAGTTCGGTAAACTCCACTGTATTTCTTTTGTTATCATTCAGGAGTTGTCGTCGTTTTTTTAGCATATCTTGTGATTTAGCGCTAATTTTTTGTTGTTTTCGCTTTTGTTTATTAGCAATCTTTAGGCCTGCTTCTAGTAGTTCTGTTGTTATTTTATCGTTAATTCGTCTAGTTGCAAACCCTTTAGCTGTAATATGTCACTTCTTTTTAGCTGGTTTATCTATTGTTCTTTGCGTTCTTTAAGAAGTTCTATATCTATCTCTTTTTTAGATGGTTTAAATTTTTGTCTGTCTGTTGTGGCGGTAATTTTGATTTTGGCTCTAACAATTCTGTGATTACTTCCTACGGAAATCATGTTTATGATCGTAACGTCTTGTACTATGTTCTTTTCTTTGGATATGATGTAATCAATCTCATTTTTTGTTACCATTGGGCGCGACCCACGTCCATTTTCTCTGTGGTTTTTTATTGAAAAAAGTATTCATCGCATATAGACCGTTCGTTTCCATATAGTTCATCAATGTTTCTCCTCTTTCGTTTCGTGTTCCATGTCCAAAGTTGCCGATTTTATTTTCTGATTCTTCTAGTTTTCTCCCTAATTTGGCATTGAAGTCGCCTATAATGATTGTGTAGGTGCTTTTCTATTTGTTCACTGTTTGTGTCAATGATTCGTAGAATAATCTCCACTTCTTCATCCGTATGTGATGATGTAGGGGCGTAAATTTGTATGATCTTTAAACTATACAAAAGTGCCAATAAACATTTTTATTCAAAATTATCTCTGTAACAGTATATATTTTTAATAAATCATTTTTTTTTCATTTTTCCTCATACGAAGAGGCGTTGTAGTGGGAAGCCGTGGGTAAAAGCAATAAACCCTTTTGCGTAATTTTTGGCGTTCCAAAAATGATATTCTCAGCAAAATTTAGCTTGTTCCTATGATTTCTAGAGGTCAAATCGCTGACGACTGGACTAATGCTCATATCTAGGATATTAACCCTTTGCGGACCAAAATTTTTTCGTCTTGGTTTTGAATAACTAATGCAAACAAAGATAACAAATTAAATATTGTGCAAAACTTTTATTTTTGTTTATTTTAAACCAAAAAAACAGGTAGTGCTT